ACTGCGAACCGTTGTAGAGAGTATAAATATGGGTGATAACTATGAGGAACTTGACGTTGATGGTGACTGGCTTTCAGTAATCGTTGAAGATCATGACAGACGTCGTAGTTACATTTGCCCCATCTGTGTGTGTGTCATTATGAAAACTACTCCGACAGAGGTGAGAAACGACTAGTGAAACACATATTAGAAGAGCATCCGAAAGACACTTGGTTGTAACGGTTTTAGTCAAACAAGTAACATCACGTGGAGAATATCAGTAACGTGATTATTCATTCTACTTGCAGATGGACACTGTTATCACTCGTCCAGTATACCCGCATATGGAGAGCTGTGTCAATCGACTGATATCGTTTTATGAATGGAACCGTAAACTTCGTCAGACTCCATACCAGCTAGCTTGTGACGGATTTTTTTTACGAAGGTGTCGGTGATTGCATTACCTGTTATAACTGTGGAATAACACTGAAATATTGGGAACATAAAAACTTTTCTGTCGAGTGCAGTGATCGTCATTCTGTCTTACCTTACCCTCCAGGCTGCTAGCATGGAAAGTGAAATGAAATCGTCAGAAGTCGTCAGAATGGGGAACTTATTACACCTGACATATGCAAACCATGTCCGTGAAATCATGAGTGAAAGACAATGTGGCAATAAAGATGCTTTTATTCATGTAGATGACATCAGAGTGATTACAGACTTTATCAGAGAAACTGTTCGATTTAACATAGAAAGAAGCTTCAGAAACGCCTTCATATCGCGGTTGTGTAATGCCGAATGGAGAATGAACGAACTCAAAACAGAAAAATGGAAAGACTGCATCCATAAAATGGTTCAATCCATGAATCGCGTAGAAGACTGGTTCCACAAAACAATGTAAAAAAAACTTACTATGAAACAATGTTTGTAAATAATGTAATAATGTAAATAATGTAATAAAAGATTGAACATACATGTTTTGTCTCATTTAATATGTTGACCGAGGAAGAGAAGCGTCTTGTAGACAGAGTATATTACAATTTTAATAACGGAGGTGCATTTCTGAGTCCGACGAAAGTTCACCAAGTACTGAAATCTCGTGGAATCACTTCACCAGGTCTGTATAAGATCAGAAGATATATACAGAGTCTGGACGATTATAGTTTACAAAAAACAGTCAAGCGTTCTTTCAACAGAGCACGAGTGGAAGTCTCCGGTCCATACGAAGAATTTCAGGCCGATCTTGCAGACGTATCGAATATCTCCAAACAAAATGACGGTATCAGATTCCTTCTGGTTGTCATAGACGTATTCAGCCGTTTCTTATGGGTGCAACCTACAAAGACCAAAACGACGAAAGAAGTGTTAGATGCATTTAAAAAGATAATCGATATCACAAAAAAAAACGACGTCTTTTTACGGACGCCGGCAAAGAATTTACGGGGAACCTGATGAGACAATATTGTAAAGACAATGACATTAAATACTTTACTAGTCGTAACGAAAAGAAGTCCGCCATGGTCGAGCGTGTCATCAGGACGTTAAAGACCATGATGTATAGATATTTCACGAAGTACAGAACTTATGTATATGCAGACAAATTGCAAGATTTCGTCAAGAGTTACAACGCCACACCTCATAGATCGTTAAACGGTATACCCCCCAAAGACGTAAACAAAACAAACGAAGCCGATATGTTTGCCTACATGTACCTCAGAAATAAACACACGAGGTCTTCCAAACAGAAAACCGTCAAGAAGCCAAAATTTAGATTTAAGATAGGAAGTCTCGTGAGAATCTCACACTTAAAGCAACCGTTTACGAGAGCCTATCAACAGCAATGGTCTTCAGAAATCTTCAAGGTTAAGAAACGGTTCTTACGCCAAGGCATACCGCAGTACCAATTGATCGACTTTTTAAACGAGTCGATCACGGGGAATTTTTATCAGTCCGAACTACAGAGAGTGGACAAGGACGAAAATGCCTTGTGGTTTATAGAAGAAAAATTAAAAAAACGTAAGAGAGCAGGTCGGATCGAATGGTTCGTCAAATTTGAAGGGTGGCCATCTAAATATAACCAGTGGATAGCAGAGAATGACATCAGTGGCATAACCAAGGTCTAAGATGTCGCATTACGTGGTTATCCAAAGTGACGGAAGTGAGAAATACTTTTCAAAAAACAAACCTTACCAATTTGGCACACACTTCCAAACACCGCTAAATCTGCACGGAACTTGGAAGGTGGCGTTGATGGACATAACGTTAAGTACGACTGGGACAAAGACGAGACACAGTGACGTGTGTGACGAAAGCATCGTCGACGGTGAAAAGGAAACTCTTCTCCGTCCCATCAGAACCGTCAAGGTAGCCAACTGGTCCCAATCGTTCGACGTTCCATACTACGTACCTGTGAAAAAGTCGGAAGTGAGAGACATAGAATTTTACATAAAGACGGATAAAGGTGATCTGGCTTCATTCTTAAAAGATCAGGCGACGATTACGCTTCACTTTAAACAATATCCTTTTCTATCATGAATGTTACAAAGATGTACGTTCCTAACGTGGGAAAATGGATAAAATATTACCAAGAGGTGGCACGTGGAAAGGAAAATGCCTATGCAGCCAATACGAAACGTAACGTGAAGCAATTCGGTGGAGGATTGTCACAGAATTCAAACGAATTCATGATTCCAATAGACAAAACCGATAGAGAGGGAGAAAAATCTTTACCTGCGCGAGAGGTTAACGTAAGCATGGTCTCTCCAACTCAACAAGCCGTAGAACAAGCTAAATCCGAGATGAAAAGGAAACGAAGTCCACATCGTCGTCAGTCTACGAGAAAGCGTCGACGCGTACACACTTCACGGTCACACCTGAAGAAACCAAAAACAATTAAATCATCACGGAAGGCGAGTAAAAGGAAGACAGGTAAAGCAAAACGGAAGGCGAGTAAAGTGAGCAGAAAATCGGTAAAAAAACCCAAAAGGAATCTAATATCACAATGGCTGCGCTAAACAAAGATTTTTTTAGAGAAGCACAACCGTCAGAATTAGCCGTGTTTGACCTTCCACCAACACAGACGGCCGTAGAAAACCTTTACTATCAAGACGTGTTACCGATATCACAGATTACGAGCGATTCCGTTGTGGAATTCGTCGTCAGTGGACAGAACGGATTGGAATTGATCGATTTTCGAAACACTTTGATATATGCCAAGGTAAAAATAACGAAAGCAGACGGAAGCGCCATAGCTGTTACTGAAGACGTGGGACCTGTCAATTTGTTCTTACCTTCTTTATTTTCTCAAGTGGACGTCACCGTACAGGGGAAGACCATCGTATCTACGACCAACCATTACCCTTGCAAGGCCTACATACAGAGTCTCCTGAAATATGGTATAGAAGCAAAGACGACCCAATTGACTACTCAGATGTGGGATAAGGATGATGAGGGAGACATGGACGAACACAGTCCTAGAACCGGTTCAAACGGAGCGTTGCTAAAAAGGGCTCAGATGTTTCAAGGTGGGAAGGTGGTAGATCTGTTCGGCCCGCTCTATCACGATTTGTTCAAGATGGACATGTATCTATTGAATCAAGTCAACGTCAATATCAAACTTTACAGATCTAAACCAATTTTTTGTCTCTTGTCCGGCACCACATCTGCCGATTACAAGGTAGTATTCGACGACATTCGACTGCGTGTAAGCAAAGTCAAGGTCAACCCAGCCGTCATCTATGCACAAAGTCAAGCTTTAGAAGTGACCAATGCTAAATACCCGTTTACGCAGACCATGGTTAAGCAGATGACCATTCCTGCCGGGACGACAAACTTACATACGATAATATATTCAAGGCATGAGACCAAATCTGGTGGTAGTTGGATTCGTAAACGCCACCGCTACCACCGGTGACTATGAACAGAACCCTTGGTTCTTCTAACCTTATGACGTCACATCTATAGGGTTCTATGTCGACGGAATACCGGTGGGTGGCAACCCTTTAAAACTCAAGTACGGAGCGACCGGTGGTCAGACTACCATTTCCGTTCTGAGGAACATGTTACAATCGACGGGGAAATGGCTCAACGATGCCGGTTCTGACATAGAAGTCAGTAGACGTCAGAGAAGACGAAGACTACTGGCAGTGAGTAAAATATTACCCATATTCTTTAAAAACTATTTAACATGGATAGAGCAATGATGTTGATACCAAAGACAAAATACGACGACATCATTAAACAAGAGAAAATGAACGGTTCACCTAATACCCACATGAGCACTATCGAAGATGACGTCATCCCAACCGATGATAGGACGCCCATTGCAATGAAGAAGTCGGGAGAAAAGACCAGTGTAGCAATAACAAAGAATACCGATAAGAATGAAACCGACCCACCTGATACGTCAGATGTGATGAATGAGTCAAAGAAACAGTTCAGGGAACAGTCCAGTAAAGAATCGACCAATCAGGGAGATAGAGCCACATCACTCAGACGAAGCATGCGCGGAAAAGCAAAGAGTCAGCGAGGCGGAAAACTGTATGTGAAGACTACGCCTCCTCAATTCGAGAGCAACCTTAAACAGATGAGACGTAAGTGGCTGTCATTCAAGATATGAACTCTGATGAAACCAGACCAGCAACATGGCAGCACGATTTTTTGACGATTTACTCGATTCGGCGTCATGTGGTGACGGAAATGCCATACAAACAGCGAGGAACTTGAAACGGATATTGAACTCTATCGATTTATCTCCAAAGAAAAAACCAAGAAATGAAGATAACGTACTCAGAGATAGACAAAATGTGACGACTTGTGATGTGTGTGGGAAACAATGTCTTACCGAAAAGAAACTAAAGGCGCACGCGAATAGACACTATCTTCAATCGACATGTAAAGTGTGTGGAAAGATATTAAACGATCCAAGCAACTTACAGAGACACATGAATTCTCACAAAAATCAAAGTTCATACAAATGTCACGTGTGTGGTAACTCCTTTACGAGAAAATATACTTTGAAAATGCACGTTAAAAACAAACATGGATTGACTGGTGGAGATCTCCCTAATACTAATCCCACCGGTAGCCGATTACCTGATCATTTTAGAACCAAAACATCATCATCTTCCGGTGTCCAGTCGCCACTGCCGGGCCCTTCCGGTGTCCAGTCGCCGCTGCCGGGTCCCTCCGGTGTCCAGTCGCCGCTGCCGGGTCCCTCCGGTGTCCAGTCGCCGCTGCCGGGCCCTTCCGGTACTGGCCAACCAACGGGAGAACATACCTATTCGGATGATGTGAGCTTGGGAGGAAATGCTAACGTGAGAAACATATATCCACATTTCAGTGACAATAGTGACATACTCACTTTTTTTGCCAGCTCCAAAACGGAAGTGATGAAACATTTAAAACTGTTGTGTGAGAGATTGAACGGAATTAAGTGGTATCTTAACATTCGTGTTTCATTGGAAAAGGAAACTAGAGAAGGTAATGTAGTCCAGACCACCCCACATTTCTTGAGTAAAGCATACATATTGATGCCAAATGATTCTGGTCTAGAACACGATATCAATGCAGCTTATCAGAAAATGTTTGCCTCGATTGAGGAATTCGTTCGTAAGGGGTCTGCATGGGTACTCAAGAAAATCATCAAATTAGAAATACACGTTGCAAATTACTCACCTTTGAGTGGCACTTCCTACATACCGACCCCGACTACTTTTAAACGTCACAAAATAGTAAATGTCTGTAATCGTGACGAAAAATGCTTCTTATGGTCCGTTTTGGCATCTCTCCATCCTGCCGATACCTTACCCGAACGCGTCTCCCATTACGAGAAGTACGAAAGCGAACTAGATATGACAGGTATCCAATATCCAGTCTCCATCTCCCAAGTACAAAAGTTTGAAAGACAGAACGACGTATCGGTAAACGTGTTTGGGCTCGAGGACAAAACCGTCTATCCCATGCATGTGACCAAGACGAAACAGTCCCGTCACCATGTCAATCTGCTCTTTTTACAAGAAGGTGTAAAAACCCATTACTGTTTGATTCCAAATTTAAATATGTTTTTGAGCAGAACGAAAAAAGGGCATAATCTGACACATTTTTGCCAGCATTGCCTGCAAGGTTTCACGAGTAGTGTTTTATTAAACAAACACGTGGAACTGTGTTCCACTCACAAGACACAGAGAGTAGAGTTCCCCAGTGAAGACGACGCTCTGTTGTCGTTTGGAGACTTTCAGAAACAAATGAAAGTGCCATTCGTAATCTATGCCGATTTCGAAACATTTGTAGAGAAAATGGACTCATGTGAGCCCAACCCAGACCTTTCAAGCACGACTAAGAATACAAAATTCAAACCCTGTGGGTTTGGATACCAAGTCGTGTGTATGGAAGATAGATACACCAAACCACCCGTCATTTACAGGGGGGCTGACGTTAGCAAAACGTTTTTGAAATGTATCATAGAGGAAGAAAAACGAATTAAGGAAGTTTTAAGCCACCCAGAACCGCTAGTCATGTCTCTCCAGGACGAGCAGTCGTTTATGGAGAGTACTCGGTGCCATATCTGTGGTAAACATTTTACAGAACAAAGTACTGTGGTACGAGATCACTGTCATTTGAGTGGGAAATTTCGCGGCGCCGCTCACAACGAATGCAATTTGAAGTATAAATACCCCACTCACATACCTTGTGTGTTTCATAACCTAAAGGGGTTCGATGCTCACATCCTGACGGAAAGCGTGGGCCTATTTAAAGACCGCAATATCAACTGCATTCCAAACAATACAGAAAAGTACATTTCGTTTAGTCTTGGCGATATTAGATTCATAGATTCGTTTCAATTCATGTCTCAGAGTCTAGAGACTTTGACAGAAAATCTTGCCAAAGAGGGTTTGACGAAATTCAATAACTTCTCTAGGGAGTTTACCGAATCAGACGCCAAATTACTACTAAGAAAAGGGATATATCCCTACGAATACGTAGACACTGCCGATAGATTCTCAGAACAAAAGCTCCCCTCAAAAGAGAAATTCTACAGTTCGCTGAGTCGATCAGACGTGACAGATGCTGATTACGCGCATGCACAATCCGTATGGGAGAAACTGAACATTCGAGACCTCGGTCAGTATCACGACCTCTACCTCAAGACGGACGTACTACTATTGGCCGATGTCTTTGAGAACTTCAGAAACATGTGTCTCGATTGTTATGGGTTAGATGCGGCTCACTTCTATACCAGCCCAGGGTTGGCTTGGAGTGCAGCCTTAAAAATGACGGGAGTGAGGTTAGAACTCATCAGAGATCCAGACATGTATCTCTTATTTGAAAACGGAGTGAGAGGTGGAGTTAGCATGATATCAAACAAATACGCTCAAGCTAACAATCCTTACATTCCAGAAACGTACGACCTCTCCCAACCACACTCGTACATCATGTACACAGATTGTAATAATTTGTACGGGAAGGCCATGTTGGAGTCGTTACCCGTCGGCGGGTTTCGGTGGGTGGAGAATCCACACACATTTGACATAACCAAAGTCTCCAAAGACGGAGACTTGGGATATGTACTCGAAGTAGATCTGGAATACCCAGACGAACTTCACGACAGCCATTCCGATTACCCCCTCGCACCGGAACGCAAAAAAGTCTCCGACAATGAATTGTCACCAACTAGTAAACAGCTGTGGAAAAGTTTACATCCTAGCCCCAAACACACTGGTGACACATTATACGGGCGCGTTCCGACAGAAAAACTGATTCCCACATTAGAAAACAAGACGAAATACATCTGCAATTACAGAAATTTGCTGTTGTACGTGAAACTGGGTCTCAAAGTCACCAAAATTTACAGAATCCTAGAATTCAAACAGAAACCTTGGTTACGCCCGTACATACAATTCAACACGTCAAAAAGAGCGGCATGTACGAATGAGTTCGAGAAAGATTTCTTTAAACTCATGAACAATGCCGTGTTCGGTAAGACGATGGAGAACGTGCGCTCCAGAGTCGATATCAAGCTGGCACACACGGAAAAGAAACTCAAAAAGTACGTGGCCAGACCTTCATTTCAAAGGTTTACTATCTTTAACGAAGATTTAGTAGCCGTTCAAAACGACCAAGTCAAACTCGTACTAAACAAACCAGTATATGTAGGACAGACCATTCTAGATCTGTCCAAGTGTATCATGTACGAGTTTTATTACAAGTACCTAAAACCGAAATACGGAGATGGAATCAAGCTACTCATGACGGATACGGACAGTCTTTTGTACCACGTCCAATGTCCGGACGTCTATGACGACATGTATCGGGACAGACATCTGTTTGATCTGTCCAATTATCCGATCGACCATCGCTGTCAAGACACAAGAAACAAAAAGATACCGGGATATTTCAAGGATGAAACGGGAAGTGAGCCCATTGCAGAGTTCGTAGGACTTCGTGCCAAAATGTATTCGTACGTGTACGCCGTGAGAAATAGAACTGAAATAGAAAATCTGGTAGTCCTATGGAACGACATGAAAGAAAAACAGGTAGCTAAAGGTATCGCAAAGGCGACCATCAGACGTGATCTTAGGCACGACATGTACAGAGACTGTTTATTCGCCGACAAAACGAAAATGTGCAAAATGAATTCCATCAGAAGCGATAAACACCAGCTGTACGTGTACACCGTCAACAAATCGGGCCTGTGTTCCTTCGACGATAAGCGCTGGGTCTTACCCAATCGGTGCGATACGCTTTCATTCGGTCATTATATGATATCTGCAATGGGTTGGCAATAAAAAACAGAAATGTAGTTTTACAAATATTTATTTAAAATATCGGACCGAAGTCGTCATGAAAAAAATACCGTAAAACTTATAAGTTGCGTTCCGTTTAAATACAATATCATTTATGTTGTATATTCAGAAGATTATATTTAAAAACAAAAGTATTAAAACAATTTCAACTAAGTTTAAAAAGAAATAAAGCCCCGTTTAATTAAGTTTAAAAAAGAAATTAAATTCCGTTTAATTATGTTGGAAAAGAAATAAAGTTCCGTTTAATTAAGTTTAAAAAGAAATTAAATTCCGTTTAATTATGTTGGAAAAGAAATAAAGTTCCGTTTAATTAAGTTTAAAAAGAAATTAAATTCCGTTTAATTATGTTGGAAAAGAAATAAAGTTCCGTTTAATTAAGTTTAAAAAGAAATTAAATTCCGTTTAATTATGTTGGAAAAGAAATAAAGTTCCGTTTAATTAAGTTTAAAAAGAAATTAAATTCCGTTTAATTATGTTGGAAAAGAAATAAAGTTCCGTTTAATTAAGTTTAAAAAGAAATTAAATTCCGTTTAATTATGTTGGAAAAGAAATAAAGTTCCGTTTAATTAAGTTTAAAAAGAAATTAAATTCCGTTTAATTATGTTGGAAAAGAAATAAAGTTCCGTTTAATTAAGTTTAAAAAGAAATAAAATTCCGTTTAATTATGTTGGAAAAGAAATAAAGTTCCGTTTAATTATGTTGGAAAAGAAATAAAGTTCCGTTTAATTAAGTTTAAAAAGAAATAAAGTCCAAATTCATGATTGAAAAAATAAAGTTCAGTTTAATTTAAAAAAAAGTTTCAATTTAATTTTTACGTTTCAAAATCGTGTTTAGTTTTTGAAGTTCGAATTAGAAATAAATTTTTTAAAAAAAGTTAGTTAAAATTAGAAATGAATTCAAAAATTTTAAAGTTAAAATTTGAAATGAATTCAAAAATTAAGTTTTAAAAAGTTTTAAAGTTCATATTTAACGTTAACGTTCACATTTATGTCAAAGTTTAAGAAAAAGGCAGTATGAGAGGTATCATTTAAAGGTCGCATATTCTGAAGTATGAGAGACATCATTTAAAGGTTACATGACATATAAGTATGAGAGACATCAGTAAAAGGTTACATGATGATTATATATTCTGAAGTATGAGAGACATCCTTAAAAGTTAGTCGAAGTATTAGAGACGTCATATACATGCATACTTAATCTTGTGTTTGAAATTTTTAAGTTGCGCCAGATAAAATAACTTGAATATTGTTATAAGTTCAACAAACATGTATAAATATATAGAGAGGGAGAATACATGTTGATTATCAATTTTTGAGGAAAAAACAAGGTTTGAATAAGAATATTTAAAGTTGAAGTATGAGACGTATCATATAAAGTCGAAGTTTGAGAGTTCATATGAATTATGAGAGACAAAGTATTACTATAGTGTAATTATTTTGTACATTTTCAGGTTATAAATACATTTCACTTATGTTTTGTATGACGTCATTCTATTTCTTAATAAAAAGATATTTCAAAGCGAACACAAGTCGTTTAGTTCTCCCTACATTCCGATATACAATCTAACACCGACTCATCATAGGTACCAAAAACGGCTTCTACTTTACAGTAACATCGATGTCTCCTCAACCTTTTCATGTGGGAACGAACTCTTCCATATTTTAACTCTACTACACTATCGATAAAGAAGTAATTTTCATTTTTGAATTCCGGATAACGCCTCTTTATAGCTTTTACAAGATAACGATAGATGACGGATCTGCAGATGTCGACCTCGTGGCAACCGAATAAAATACTGATGAAACATAAATTAGTAGCATAGTACGATCTATCTTTTCTCGAGAGCTTCCATCTGATCAACGTTTATACTTCGTATCATGGGTTTTCTATATCGTACTCTGGTATTTCCGAGTTCTTTCAGAAAATAGATCCGCCTGTAGACTAGTGAGTGTTCCATTCCGTCAACTCAAATGCAATGGATGAGTAAGTAACTTGTTCTCAGTTTTAATGTTTAACCATCTCTACGGCATCAGATTCCTTTCTGTCTCATTAGGTATGTTATCACCAGCATCTAACAATAAAGAACATTTTACAATTAAAAACAAAAACCCCATAAGATCTGCAACCGACAATTATTTGCATCATATACTAATATACATGTACTAACGTCATAAAAGTAGCCATATCAAGTAAACAATTATCCGAATTGGATATAAAATGAGCCGAAAGCAATTATACTTTTGAAAGGTATCAAAATAAAACATCCATTTGTTAAAGTAGTTGAATATCAATCAGCTAAATTGTAGCGTAAATTTCGATCACAGCGTATTAGGAACTTTTCTTTGTCATACACTCTGTCAAATGCATTTTTTTATTTTTCCCCTTTTTAAAGATTATTTGATTTTATCAACACATGTTGATTCAAATAGGAAACTTTTGTTTGTTTCTATAGATATCTAACTGCAGAGAAGTGTATACATCTATTTACATATGTATTCTATCTCATTCGTATTAGTAACCAAATTTACCTACTTCACTGTTGTATCTGCACTGCTCCGAGAAAAAGTGTAAGAACATAGTATTATTTTCTTTTGAAACTATTTTTCAATTGTTTGATTCTAACACTAGTTAAATAAATGGTATATGCTGTTTCCATTTTTATTCTAACATGTGGACAGATTTTGTTTGTAAACTTAGAAGTTATCAGTGTTGTTGGTAGAGATGGGAATATGACAAAAGTCAGATCGACTTTGGTGTATCTTGTATCTTACATTTGTTGTTGGTGTTCACTGTTTCCACATATCTTATGAAAAGTTGTTTGTCGAGATAATTTTGTGTCAATTTCTTTAACAAAATACTTTAATTTAACTCATACCTGTTACAAATGTAACTTGAAAACAGTTTTGTTCTTGTAAATCTTCATAAATAATCAAACAAACTGTTACATATTATGTAAAAACCTGTTTTCGTAAAGTTTCCTGATACAAATTGTTTTATAAATGTTGTGTATTTTAAACTATTTCACATCTGTTAGATGTTTTATTTTAAAAAAAGGCATACTTTTGAATAACATCTCTAATGTAAAGTTGTTTGCCAATGTACTTTTGTGTCAATTTCTTTAACAAAACACTTTTATTTAACTCATACCTGTTAAACATTTAACTTTAAAAGACATCCGTTGTTGTAAATCTTCATAAATAATCAAACAAACTGTTACATATTATGTAAAAACCTGTTTTCGTAAAGTTTCCTAATACAAATTGTTTTATAAATGTTGTGTATTTTAAACTATTTCACATCTGTTAGATGTTTTATTTTAAAAAAAGGCATACTTTTGAATAACATCTCTAATGTAAAGTTGTTTGCCAATGTACTTTTGTGTCAATTTCTTTAACAAAACACTTTTATTTAACTCATACCTGTTAAACATTTAACTTTAAAAGACATCCGTTGTTGTAAATCTTCATAAATAATCAAACAAACTGTTACATATTATGTAAAAACCTGTTTTCGTAAAGTTTCCTAATACAAATTGTTTTATAAATGTTGTGTATTTTAAACTATTTCACATCTGTTAGAGGTTTTATTTTAAAAAAAGGTATACTTTTGAATAAAAATATGTTATACAATGTCTGTTATCATACTTTTGTGTCAATTTTCTTTAACAAAATACTTTAATTTAACTCATACCTGTTACAANGCTGTAATGTGTTAAAATAAATGTTTTAATTTGAAATCTATCTTTTCTTATTATTCTTAGTTGTACAATTCAAACCTAAGCAACATGTCTATAGAAGTTTTACAATAACACTCAGTGATGTATTAATACACAATGTTTGCTTGCTTGCAGTAATTACTGAAATCGCAGTTTTCCACAATTTGGTCCAGTCACTTTTAAATCATAATTATTGACATGTTACTTTCTGATGAATAGTGAACGTGTTGACGTAGCAAATGTTCACGCTCTTGACATTGTTACTAACTTTACGGTGTACTATGCGATCGTTACTTGATAATTTTCCTGAAGGATTCATTCGTCATCTCCTGTTAACATTTGCTCCACCTACTCTTTGCTCTCTTAGTTCAATACATATGCTCTCTCAGATAGTAGGTATTCACTTTATCGTTGAATACAGGCTTATTTATGTCGATGTTAATCAATGAACCATTAAAACGTTTCGTCGTCTTTTAAATTCAAGTGTAATACCTTAACATTTCTCACATCATGAAGAAAAAAATGGACACTTTCATATATTTTACTGCAGCGGTTAAAAACATGACGTATTTCTAAGGTTTTGATATGTTTATTTTATTTACCATGTGAATTTATTGGTTATTATACGATACATAAAGTTTTTATATATCGAGTATATATGGATCAAATTCAAAATCTATAAGATTCGTAAACAATTTGATGAAATATCTTTTGGTAATTAATGATGGAATTTACTGTGTTTTAATTAATGGTTGATTTTGTGGTGTAACGTCAATCTTTAATAGAAAAAACTGTCTGTCGACTTCCATCTCCATTTATCACATTTTACCAGTGAACCAAAACTTTGGCGATTGGTAGTTGTGGTTTTACAGGCTTTGGACTGTCTGACATATAATGTCAGGCTGGATTAAAGTCGTCCGTCCGTCTGTCAAGTCTGCCAAAGATTGTCAAATGAAGATTGCAACACAGTTCCAGAGTTTTTCATCTGATTCAATATTAAAGGTACCATATGACATAATAATTTTCACTTCTTCAAATAATCTTAGGTTTAACACTACCACTCTCTGTATTTTATCAAATGATAGTGAAACATCCAAATACAGTCCTTTATTCTCCATGCGAATGCGATCCGTATCTCTTAACTCTGCATGTACAATTACTGGTCCATGTCTAATTAATGGTTCATTAGAAAGTAGAGTTTCTTTACGATCACTTTGATGGAGTCACTTTGGATATCATGACTAATATTTATATTGAGGTGAACACT